TTTTCTCTCACCTCCAGCATCAGAAGTGTGACTCATCACGCTGAGGCTAATATGCTGATAGTGTGCACTACCAGCAGGGTGTGTAAATTCCACACCTGTCCCATCATCCTCTCTCTCTCTCTCCGTCACCCCTCCCTTCCCCTTTTGTGCCTTCTCTCTTTTCACACATGCCCCCCCCCCCTCCTCCCTCCTCTCACCCTCACCACACTCTGGACAGCTTGAGGAGCAGAGAGCAGCACTGCCTTGCTAAGAACATGCAACAGAGGAACAGGCAGCAGAGACAACAATGAGGGCCTTTCTTCTTGTTTTCCTCACAAACAGGTAAGTGGAGATTCACACTGCACTTTTATGACTAGCTGCATGAAGCCTGGTAGAGGTATTTTAGATTAAATAAATAGCAATTGTTGGAATAAGAGCAGCTTATTTGAGAGTATTCATATCTGAATGTGGCGCTGCAGAATTGGTCGTAAAGAAAGATTATGTTCCCCTATTTTACTGTCTTTCTCTGTCCTTATATAACATCCAGTTTTCCTTATAATAACTTCACTATCTCTGATTCATGTTCCCGTTGTTCTCCCTTCTAGAAGAGACCATTAATCTGAGCATAACAAGCTTTTAATAAGTTTAATAAAGTCATGTATTAAGGTGATGGCGGAGCCTTTGTGCTCATTTGACACTGAAGATGGATCTTCTCCACAGGAACGAAGGAGGTGGAGTGATGACAAAAGGCTGCAGCTGCCTTTTCTTCTCATGAAGCAGGGTGAAAAATGACATGGCATTGGAGCTCAGGTAACTTCACTTGGACACTGATACCCTTGAAACCAAAGTCTTGGGTGTGTTTGCAAGATTTGTGCTGCCGCGAGTGTGTGAAATCCAAGACATTTTGAGGACACAGTCTATGAGGATGACTCTTTGGCTAACAATAAAAGAAGTGAAGAGGAAATTAGGTAATGCTGTAATTAACACTGTGATTAGGTGTTATCTTCCATTCCTGTTTATAATGATGTATCTATTGCTACTTCGAGAAGGAAAGACTGAATATATGAATTGTAGTATCAAACAATGAGTTGCTGAATGTTAATGTGTGCCTGTATGTGTAGCCAGTTTTCTCCAGATGGAGATGAGCGTGAGAGAGACTTGTTTTCCACGGAGCGGTGATGTCATGACACCGCTGTTTGGGCGGACTAACAGTTTATTCTGAAAACTGAGCCCGTGTCCCGAGGCTCAGACAAACTATCCGAGTACAAACGATGAAGGCAGAGACTCTTCACAGCCGAGGAGGGAAGGAATAAATCCTCTGTGTGAAAGGAGAAAGACGATAGCTTCTATTGAAGTTCATAAAACAACCGTTTTTTACACGCAGTTTACAAAAACAAATATATAATAGTTTTCAGAAAGCGGAGGCCTGCATCTGGGCCAGGCGCTGTCTATTCTGCTTTATTCATAATATTTGATCAGAGGTAAAAACTAGCTAAGCACCTTAATCCATGTACTGTTCTTATGTAAAATATAGAAGATACAAACTTGAAGAAAACAGAATCATATAAGTACAATCATATAACTAAGACAACCTGAATATTTTTGCAAAATTAAAATGGTGCACACGTGCTTTACAAGTTGCAATCATTTCCACCTTTTATACTTTCAGCCCATTTTGAATGAACAAATGGAATAATTTTCACTTTAACTTTAATAATTGAAAAACTTCTTCCACCACTTGATTTACGGATTGATTCGAGGCAATTTCCTTTTTACAACGCCTATGAACATGCAGGTTAATGTATGAAATGGTTATTCATTTTTTTTTTATTTGAAAGTAATAAAGTGGGGTTTTACTTTATGACTAACTATCATCTTATGTTTCCACACATTATGTCTTATTAGAGCCCAGAGTAATATATTAAACAAATCACATCAGTTTTTTTCTCCTATATTTAATGATCTCTTCTCGTGAGCCTGGATTTCTCATTTAGTGAAATCACAGCATGAAAACAGTCGGCACATTTTACAGAAGACATTAATATGTTTGGAGGGCTAAGTATAATTGCAACATCCATTAAACCAGTAATCTCCATATGAAAACTGTATAATTATGAGTTGTATAAAGATTTTATTTTTCTTGCAGATTGAGAGATCTCCTGCTGATGAATGTCACTCTGGGAAGACTTTTCTGAAGATGCAGAACTTAGCTCATTAGTGAGCATTGAACCAAACAAGAATTGTTCACAGTGGCTAAGTTCAGTGTCTGACATGAAAGCATGAGCTCCAGCAGACCGTCCCAACACGGAGAGGTGAGGCGAGAACGTGACGGACATTGTTGTTCTATAAAAGAGTGCTTTTTTTTGCATGCCAAAACACTGTATAGTAGGAAGAAGAAGAAGAATCACTGTTATGATGATTTGAGTCAGTAAAAGTATTATAAATGTGCCAACTATGGATCCTCACAAAGTTTAAAAATAACAAGAACCACAGCTTGTTAAATTCTGTGCTTTCAATCATTTTGGGATTTTAATAATGTGAACTTTAAATCCTGAGTTGTGTACTCTTGTGCCTACTGGACTGGAATCAGTGTGTCTCTGCAAAACTGGCTCAGTCCAGCAGGAACAAGAGTGACTCCTAATGTGACACCATCGTTGCTAACAAGCCTGTCCTCATCGTCCCCATAAAAAATAATCTAAGGGATCACGTCCCAAATGACCACGAAAATGTTTATCACAGCACTCGGCAGCAGGTATTTTGTCAGGAGTGATGAGTTTGCGTTTCTGACCCAAAGAAATTATGCTTGCGTGTGTATCACTGTGTGTCTGTGTGTATCAGTGTGTGTATTTGTGTCCTGATTTGTCTCCTCCTGTGTGGGAGAATGTGCCTCGGCTGCAGGTAGTCGTTATGAACAGCAGTTGATTTGTGCTGAGTAACACTTCACGTTGCCTCTCATACCTCACACTATAATAAGCTGTCAGTGTGTCTGCGAGCTTCTTCACTAAATTGGGATCCATCGACCCCCACCCCCCCCCCCTCAGTCATTATATACCTGAATGGACAGGCTGCATTAGCATAAGCAAAACTGACCATCATTAGACTTTTTTTTTTATCAATTTGTGCATCCTGTACTCATTTAAAAAATCTGCACACATGCAAAAATGTATATAGCCTGATCTTAAAATTGCACTCCGCAATTATATTATGTATCTGTGTATCTAACTTAATCCCTGTTGAGGAAGTATGAAGAACTTTAATTTCTTCATTAAATGTGCTCATTATTTCTGTGTCAGACAGGTAAGATATTTTCGTTTCTGAAGGTGAACCACCTTTTAAGGTGCACAGATTCTGGAATATATCAAAGACTGAGCCCTCGTGAGGATTGAAATACTTGCACACAATGTGGCAAAATCCTGCAGTGAAACATCAGGAGCTGTCATTCACCTCTCAGTTTGGTTTCCATCTTGCACATACATCTTTGCCTGTTTTGTTCTAATTCTGTCTTTATCTGTGTTTTGGTTATGTGCTATATATCCTATTTAATGTGTTTGTAATATGCTTTAAATTGTAATATAAAAAATGGCTTGCATATTTGTCTCTTTTTAATAGCAGAGATAGTTTCTAAGAACATTGTGTCAAGACCATGGACGTAGGGTCCGTGACGTCACCCATAGGATTCTGCAGAGTTGCCGAGAAGCCCTTAGTAGGCGGAGTCAGACACTAACGGCTCGACAGTGACGTCAGAACTCCCGCCTGCTCCAGCAGTGTCAAGACGAGGGCACAACATCAACTTTTTACCAAAAATGTTACCAACGTGGTCTGCATGATAGAGACAGATTATGCAGATTTGAGTTTTGCCTGAACTCCTCTGTCAGCCTCAACGAGGTTTAACTTTTCAAGGTTAACTGCAGGTTTGTGTTGAATTGCATTATATTTTACATATGCTGCTTATTTTTTATCTTGTACACTAAATAGACAGTATAGAAAGGCCAAATAATATCCCTACTATTGACTGCCACAAGAACAGTTTCAGGCCCAGTTGGGCATTTTAAAACCAGTAATAGTCCCAACAGGATTATTTACAAATACTCAATTGAGATTTGTCCGCGCTGAGGATGGGGATCTCAAAGTAGTAAAACAATATAACATTACTCAAAGAATACAATTCTGTAGTGATACAGATACAGTTTCATAAAAAGTAAGAGGTGTGAAAAGGTGGCAAACAACAATACAGAACATACAGAGTAAATGTACATTACATGTCACTTTCTTTATGTGCTAGAATAAACATACTTAACTTCACTGTCTTTGTGTGCTAACATAAATGGTTTTAACTAGTGTTTTAATGTGGTAAAATAAAGGTACATTATACTGTATGTGGTCAAATAAATGTAATTTATACTGTATGTGGTAAAATAAGTGTACTTCACTTCACTGACTGCCTATATGTGGTAAATTAAATGTACTTTAAATGTGGTAAATAAAATATACTTTATATGTGGTAAATTAAATGTACTTTGTATGTGGTAAAATAATGTGCTTTATATGTGGTAAAATAAATGTACTTATATGTGGTAAATTAAATGTTCTTTATGTGGTAAATTAAATGTTCTTTATGTGTGGTAAAATAAATGTACTTATATGTGGTAAATTAAATGTACTTTGTATGTGGTAAAATAAATGTACTTTGTATGTGGTAAAATTAGTGTACTTTTTAGGTGGTTCACTGCATGTATCTGCTAGTACCATAAGGCTAGTACTCTAATGTGATGAGAGGTGGTTGTAATACCCCAGATTTCCACCAGGTGGCGCCTAAACCCTCCAGTTCACCTCATAACAAATGAGGTAAATTAAACTCAGTATTAACTTCTGCTCCTCGCTAATGTGTAAAGAGTTATCTTCTCTCGACACGTCACAACGTGCCGCGGTGTTTTTATCTGCAGTTGTACCTCCTGTTGGCTAAAGTGTGACATCTTTCAGGTCAGTAAAGGTAAAACATTGTGTCTACCTACCTCGTCGGCGGGTGTGTCAGTGTGTGTGTGTATGTGTGTGTGTGGAGAAACCTAGGAAGTAAAGTTTTCGGCCAGGACGACGCCAAGACGTGAACCCTGCATTTCTTTAAAAAGCTGTGATTTAAAGCTAAAACGTCGCCGAACTGCTGGGAAATGACTTGTTAACCATTTAAAACGGTGAATATGCAATTCATTCGCTTACCTTTTTTTCTAGAAACTCAGGTGAAGAAACATATTTTTCCCTGAAGTTGTGTGACTGGTTTCGCAAACGCCAAAGACCTTCCTCTTCCTCCCGTTTTCAGGAATATTTCGGCATTAGAAAAATAAACGAGTGGGTTTTTCTCGAAAGGTGAGATTTATTTTGTCATCTTGTAACTGTTTGGTATTTGTTACCTGGGCAGATTATCTTGGATTATCGTTGATACAGTATTACGTGTTGATACAGTGTGGGAATGAGGCAAGCTAAGAGACATGCAAATCTTATGTCATTTGCACACATAGATCTCAATGTGCATGGACTCAATACATTTACCTGTGATAGTTTCACCTTAACCACACTTTCTATTTCTTAATTTTAAAGTCGAATTTGGTGACATTTGTTGACGTTTGACACTTGTTAATGAGTGGATGTATATGGGAATTATGAGGTGGATCTATAGCAGGGCTATTCAATTAGTTTGGAATGGGGGCCGGTTGATGAAAATGATCCAAAGCAAGGGGCCGGGAAAAAGATGGCTTGAAATATGAGCAATCATATTTAAGAGCTTCAGATACAGTAAATACTACAACAGCATAGTGGAGTGCATATATTGTGTTTAATTCAATCAAACAACATAGCCCCAAGGCCTTTATAGATCTAAATGGCAAGTTCAGAACTCAGTAGGCCTACATGTTTCATTTGATTTCATTTAGGTGAAATGATCTAATCATTCACGCAGAGATGCAATCAATGACAGGAGTTGTCACTACAGTATAGTAGGTGGGTTCGAAACCCGAGCCCGTCGAAGTTTTCAGGCATTGTCTACCCCTCTGTCTCTCAATGTAACACCCTCTCTGGAATAAAGGCACTATGGCACAAAAAAAAAAAAAATTGATTACTTTTTAACATTATACTCAAAGGGCCAGTAAATATCACCCCGGGGCCGGATTTGGCCCGCGGGCCGCCAATTGAATAGCCCTGATCTATAGTATTACATGTTGATACAGTCTGTGGGAATTAACCAACCAATGAGAAATGCATGTTATGTCGTTTGCCTACGTTTTATATTCTAGAAATAATTACATTGCATACAGATGTCTCAAAGATTACCTGTGCTAGTTTTACTCCTATTACACTTTCTATTTCTTCATTTTTACCTAGCTTAATGTATGTTTCTACAGTGGATGCTGGCCGAGAGTTGGGAGAGTGAGTTATGCTGAGGCCTGTCTGTACATCAGGACATCAGGATGAGCTATACAGATGGATCCAGGCGCCCTGAACATAATGGAGAGGCCCGAGTTGTGCAGATCTACCCCAGGCTGTCCCGGGACACTTCCACCTACTGTCCCCTGCAGGTCAGCGGTGGGGACACGGCCAGGGCGGTCATCCACAATGCAGTGATCACTCTGGGCCTGGACGCCAGCCAGAGGTACAGCCTGCTGGAGGTGAGGAAGAGCGGCGGGGAGGAGAGGCTGCTGGAGGCCGGGGACCACCCTCTGGAGAGAGTCCTGCTGTGGCCCCGCAAGGCTCAGAGGTGGCACCCCCAGAGCGAAGGGCACTACTTCATCCTGCAGAAAGACAACAGTGCAGGCAACCAACTAGAAAGCAACAGAGACGGCTACGATGACCTCTGCAACCTCCAAACTGTGACTGAGGAGAGCGTCCTGAAGGCTTTACATCATCGCTTCTACAGGCTCAACATCTACACCTATGCCAGCAACATCCTCATCGCCATCAACCCCAACAAGTTCCTGCCTCTTTACTACAACCCAAAGTTTGTGAAGAAGTACGAAAACCAGCCACTGGGCAAACTGAGCCCTCATATATTTGCAATAGCAGACGTGGCTTTCCGTGCGATGCTGACCAGGCAGAAGAACCAGTGCATCGTGCTGTCTGGAGAGAGTGGCTCCGGGAAGACTGAGAGCAGCAGTTATCTCATCCACTGCCTCACCGCGCTCAGCCAGAACTCCAGCGGAATCGAACGCACCGTCCTTGGGGCCGGCCCGGTGCTCGAGGTAGGTCACTGTGATGAGAAGCACCTGCTGAAACCACAAACACCCACATCTGTTGTAGCAGTATACACTGTCAGCTCTGTAGAGGCAATAACAAGAGAGTGTGACACTTTCCTGCTGATTCACCATCTGTGCCAAATTTCTTTCAAAATATGTTGACAGAGGGCCAATCAACAATCAGAGAATCAAGGTATGTCAGTTGAATTGTCAAGCAAAACTGTCCAACATTCCCGGTTAAGGTTTCGGGATATATTTGGGTTGTATGACTGCTGGCTGAAGAACACAGGCAGTTTGAACATACCACTATGTCTCTGGAAATATGATATGTATGTTTCACTGTGTTATGACTACTAATAACTAAAGATTGAAAGGGTTTAGTGTCATATGCAGTAGCCTTAGCATACATTGGCAGGACATCTGAAGTCTCAGGCGCCTCCAAAAGCACAACATACAATAAACTCAAGACAAGTAAACAAGTAAAAAATAGTGCAAGAAGAAATGGAACTAAAATATAACTAAACAACAATTTAAGAAAACACAAATTATAAATCAAAAAAGCATGCTATGAAGTTTAAGCCCCTGCGATCACATCAGTCTGGCCCTCTCTTTTTTTTCTGAGACACTACGTCAATACACTTTCGAAATTGTCGCAATCTTTCACCAGAAACCAACTTGCACGCACGTTGGTTGATTGAGAAGAGAGTGATTATCTGATGGTTTAACTAAGCTGATTATCTGCCTTCACTGTTTCCTGCAGAGAGTAAAATGAAGCAAGACTCTGCCATTCTGTCTTCATAGGATGATGTGAATATGAGTTGGATTATTGTGGATGTTTTTATTTCTTGTTTGATGCTTTCGGTCAGCTTTAGAGTTTTAGCTGAAACTGTTTCTGTTATATCATTTCCTTTTTTAGACCTCTTTATCCAAAACATAAAATGTCAAATGAAGAAAAACCTCTCCTTTTTATGCAGGAAACAAAAATATAACCACCATGTGTTTTGCACTTCCTTGCAACCAAACCCAGACAATCAGTTTAATCAACAATAACCACAAAAACGTGGTGTAGTCCAAAATGAAAAGCTACATTGTAATTGATCATGTACTGTATTTGCAAGAAGAAAAAAAAATGACAACATAAAGGGACAAAATCTCTTAAAAGTTCCTAGAAAAAGGCAAAGCAATCTGTATTGTACATGCTGAATTTTGATCATCAGGAACACGTACAAATATTAGGGTTTGCATAGTTTGGTTTGCAATGCGCCTCATACACTTAGTCAGACATTTCATCAAATCAAAACCCCCAAAGAGCAAAACACTGGCAGTGTTTGTCGACCGTGAAATCAGACTTATTTTACACTCCAGTTTCGCTCTCACTCTTCTAGGTTAACAGGTCTCTTTGTTCACTATCAAATCAGCCGTGTGCTACAGTAAATGTTTCAATGAGTAACAAACAGGCCACTTCCCTGTGTTGTGTGCTCGCTGTTTCAGTTATCTGTTGGATTGCACCAAGGTTTGACTGATACCTGATATGAGACTAGGCTAAATGCCTTAGAACTAACCAAACTTAGATTTTTAATGGAAAAACATTGCATTTCTTTACTAGGAGTCTCTTTACATTGTACAAGAACATATCTGAAAGAGGGGAAGCAAGGCATTGGTTGGTTTCAGTTAATTTAAAACACACATTGTTTTTGAAATTGCTGGCTCTTTACTTACATCTATTCCAGCTACCATTAAGTACATGCTATGTCTATCCATCAATACACAAGCTAACACAAAGGATCCTGGCCTGCTTTGTTACTGAACACGCACCCGCACACACACACACAATCCCAAGGGGCCAGCCTTTCGTTGGAGAGTGGCTAAAAATGGATTCTTCCTCTCTGAACAAGTCCAACAAGTTTCTCCTTGTAATAAGCATTGGCTAAAGTATTTTTCCTGTTAACTGATCTTCCTGGAAGTGTGTTGTGTTGAGCTCTTAAGTGTTCACAGAGGCAGAGATTCAGTTTAAGGAAAGAAAGTGGCGTGTTGTTTTGGTGCCATTGATTGTTTTTTTACCAGGGTAAATAATTAACAAGATTGCTGAAGAAAGAGATCATGGCATTAAAGTTAATTTTAGGTTAACACTGATGTACCACAAGTACATCAAACCTGAATATCAGTATAGGAAAAGACTGACCTATTGGCAAGATACCTACTGTGTATTGAGTGTTTACTGGTTTGGGTTTGTATGATTTAGTAGTTTTGTTTTTGTTAAAATGGCTCCTGCCATCTTGGGATTTCCCTCTTAGGCATGAGTAACCCTAAGATACTTCCTTTTTATCTGAAATGACAAAACTTGGACTTGTTTTTCCTGCACTTTTACTTTTATTCAACTTTAAGTTTATCATGCTCTTGGGTGGAGGGCATCTTCCTCTATCTGTTGACTTATCACATTTGACATCAGTATGTAGCTGAATCTGCAGCTGGCTTTATATTCAATCCACCTTTGAAATGTGTGTTTGATTTCAAAATCTGGAGAAGATCTGCAGTCAATGGCCAGCAGGTGATTGCACCTTGCTTTTTTTAAGCTTGGGTTGGTGATCAGGAAGCTGAGCGCTGAGCTTCACAGGGGGAATTTGCAGGGCGTTGTCTTTGAGGGAACACCAGAGGGAGAAGAGAACAAGAACGTGTCAGAACAGGCTCAACCAGGTCTGCTCTCATTCTCACCAGTGCACTCTGTCTCTGCTTCTTCTGACTTTGATAAACTGTGTTTCAATTCAAGGATTGCAGTTCCTCTTAAATCTTAATTTTAAGGTGGAATTCGGCCCCATCTTGCAGATTTGAAACCTTTTTCTATCCCGCTGTCCTCTTCTCTTTCTAAACTGACACAACAGGTGCATATTGTTTCATTTTCATTGTTACACATTTATGTGTCCAGCATTTTATTTTGCACAGGTTGCATCAGTCCTTTATTGCAATTGTCGGGTTGTTATTTGCAACTCAGAACATGTCAGGATATGTCTGGGAATATCAGATTGTATTTTATTTTACATTGTAAAGCCCCCTGAGACAAATGTATAATTTGTGATATTGGGCTATTTAAACATTATTTGATTGATTGATCGACACAATCCTGTCCTTAAGGCAGTCATTGATGACCGGGACATATATTGTAAGAACTAGACCAGTTATGGCCAATAAAGGGGCTGTAACTAAGTAATGGAGTCCCAACACAATATACAATATATGTATCAATATACAGGATAAGAAAGCAGAACTCTTTTTGGTTTGTCCTGACAGGAATGTTGTTTTTTTCAGACCCTCTGCTAATTATTTTATTTTGCTTATTTAATTGTAATTTGTTTGTATTTTTAAATAGGGCTTATATTATTAGCGATTATTTTCCTTATTGGGTCATTTGCTGATCTTCTCAATTGATTGAGGATTGCTTAGTTTGTAAACTGTCACAGTTTGTCACAGTTCAAAAGAAGTTGTCCATCATCTGTTGAAGTTAAACGTCACAGCTTATTCTGACAAATTGGGGATTATCCAACCTAGCCCAGTTTTTCTTGGTATTTCCCACCTTTTCAGGAGTTTCTCGAGGGTAAACCCCTGATGATAATCTTGGAATTGTCTGTGTTTACATGCAGACCAGTTCTACTTAAATGCATCATTAGTTTCTATCTCTGTTAGGGGGGAGATGGCTTCTTCATGATGGTCTCCCTCCCACGATTTAGCCCCTGAAACGGGACGTGGCGAACACCTGTTTCTCTCCCTCTTCCACATACCATCTTCTCTCCACATGCCTTCCATATCTTTTCAACTTCTTCATATACATTTGATTGATCTGGTAGAAAATGAAAAACATGCACTGTATGCACAGAGGAGCACAGGGAGGAACATTCCTGCCTTTCACCGTTTTACCTGTCACAGATCAGTATCGTGTGCAGGTCGAGCTCACTGTGCGAACGCTGCTCTGGCCTGTTTCGACACGAACATCTGCACAACTCACACTGGAATGAGGGAGAACAAAACCTTTGTAGATGCAGACTTTGCTCAGTTTTTTTCTTTTGCTTTGGGAGACCTGGAAAGTACAGGCGCTCATAATCCTGTTTATGTCATTTTACCTGGTGGTGACTGTAGGCGGAGTCTGTTGTGTTATTGTTCAACCTTAGTTACAGAATAACAATCCATGCAAATGTGAGGGCAGTCATTACGTTTCCTCATGAGCTGCTACCAGGGTGCAAAATGATCCCTTTCTGTGACACTTCATGCTTAACCTGTCACTCAAAAATAGATGTGGGGTTTTCGGCTGGTGCATAAACCAAATGTAGTAGCCACTTGCATATTTTTGTCGCCATTTAGATGGTGAAAGTAGATTTTTGTACAATATCTGCAATTGATGACTATCTTAATTTTCCATTATTCTAGCAGTTTTCTTTTCAATCAATCTTTTTATTTCTAAGAAACATTTAATTGCATCAAACGTGTTTTTAAATTGCCAACTTTGTGTGAAGAACAGAGATATGTTATTCATTTAATCAGATATCATTCATGATATGAAACAACACAAACCATAAATACTAACATGAACTCAATTAATGTAGGCAGTGCTTTATTGATTAAAAAAAAACTAAAATGATAAATTAATCAATTGTAAAGATAGCTAAATGATAAGCCAACCGCAACAACAGAATATTACATTACATGTCATTTGTTAGATGCTTTTATCCAAAGCGACTTACATACATTCAATACTGTGGGCAATCCCCACAGGAGCAATTTGGGGTGAAGTGTCTTGCTCAGGGACACAACGACATGCTGACTGCAGTGGGACTCGAACTCGCTACCCCGTGATTCCAAGTTCAGCGCACTATCCACTGAGCCACAGCCTCCCACTGTACCCATACTGTACATAATGTCTTTCAGTTCCTTGAACTATATAAACCCTGGAACCTGATGGATTTATTGTTGACAGAGTAAATCTGCAACAATTAGGAGATGAATTAATAATTTGATTTAAATAAAGCTAGCAAAGTAACAGGAACTTTTTAACAATTGATAAAGAATTAGACACCTTATTATATTAAAGAAAATTATCTGAATTTGAAAACCTAATTTTGGGCTCTGGGAAGATTTGATGGAGATATTTCAAAATGTTTTGAGATTTTAAAGACCTGAGAAGAAATAATAGTTTCAGCTGTAGTTTAGAGTCAGACCAACTTGATCTTCAATGTCTCGTCAGGTTGGTAACAGAAAGGTCTCCTGCCATCGGACATTTGATCGCTGCCCTTTCCAATGTTTAGGTGTGGGTGCCAGTGTCTGTGAGAAACATTGCTACTCTTGTCTGTTTATTCAAGTGAAAACTTATGTCCACTATGTTTTAAACAGGCCTTTGGCAATGCTAAGACAGCAGAGAATAACAACTCGAGTCGCTTTGGGAAGTTCATCCAGCTCAACTATCTGGAGAGCGGTGTCATCAGAGGGTACGTCTTCATGTTTCACATTTATCTCACTGAGCTTGAGTCGTGAATCTCCCAGGCCTCTGCAGCACAGTTGATTTATTTATCAATATTTTACTCCCTATGTCATAATGGTAGTGTTGGCAACCACAGCAAGGCTTCGAAGGCTTTGTTGACATTCTCTTCTTCTGCGTCTCTTGCAGGGCAGTTATCGAGAAGTACCTTCTGGAGAAGTGCCGCCTGGTGTCCAGAGATCACAGGGAGAGGTATATTTGAAGCACAGAAAGCACTCCAGATTTACATTGTATTTTTTAACCTCACTTAGATTACCACCAAATTGTACCTGCACTTTGAACCTTCTAACATAAAGCAGACAACACTAAAAACTCTTGTGTTCAGTGAAATGTTGTGTCAATAACAGAGCATGACTGTATTTGTGTTGCGTGACCTCTGACCCGCAGGAACTACCACGTGTTTTATTACCTGCTGGTGGGCGCGTCGAAAGAAGAGAAAGAGGAGTTTCGTCTGTTAGAGCCTCAGGATTATCTCTACCTCAAGCAGGTACCTTTGATCCAAACACTTTACAGCAGCAGAGACAGGATGTGTCTTTCATTGTTATGAAAACGCAGGTAAACTGCTGGTAGATGTATATAGACACAATCCCACAATATCTAGAAACTTCTCAGCAGTAAAGTCATAGGGTGTTTCTCAATGTCGAGTAAAGCTGCTCCAGAGCCACTATTTCAAGCATACTCCGTCATCGAGTGCCGCCGAAGGACTGTTCCAATGTCCAGCATACTTGGAATTTCGAGGCTGCACATGTGTAGACTCCGCGGTCTTAAAATCCCCACAATGCTTTGCGCACGGACCAATTTCCTCTCATATGACGCACACCTGCACACTTGCTAGCCTGTTCCACTCTTCGTTTTCCGAATGCCAGGAAGTATTCTTGCCTCGCTTCTGAAGCAAGTGACTCGGAAGACATGTGCTACCAAGCAAGCGTATACTCAACATTGAGAAACACCCATAGTGTGTCAAAGTGCTGCCTCTGCTTTGGGATTAACAGACACTCACATAACTGTAAAACTACACATTAACCAGAATTATAGAGCAACTGCTTTCACTCACAGTCATTTTATTATGTTGAGAATTGAACTCCATGTTTACATTAAAGAACTCAAACTCAACACATTTGGAAAAAACTAAAAATGTTGCTTTTAAAACTTATTTACAGGTTTGAAGAGCAACTTTAAAATGCAAGTTCATTTATTTATAGAGAACATAAAAAAAATAAAAATAATGTTTGAGCATAGGAGATAATAGAGAATCGGATAAAACCTGAAATATTAACTGGAAAATAAATTATTTTGGATACAGTAATACAAACACAAAAAAAGAAAAAGACATGATTCTGTTAATCGTGTTTCTACATTGATTGTGTGTTGACATTAACATTAGATTAACATTGTTTATTTGTGGTTATGCTTAACATTTACCCCGTGTTTCTATCCGTATCCCATATGATTGTCCCTCAGGATGATCTCCATTTGGATGATAAGGAAAAACTTAGGCAAGAGTACAAGAGGCTCCATCAGGCCATGGAGATGGTTGGCTTCCTGAGCTCCACCAAGAAACAGTGAGTATGATTTCATAATGAACGACACAACTGGTATGCTGCAGGCCTTAATTAAAAGTGCTTAAGAACAATAAGGTTTAACATCTAGATTAAAACATTGCAATTGTTGAGGTTTCCTCAGTAGTTGTTACACTGCTGAGCTGCCTAATGACTATCAATCAATCAATCAATCAATCAATGTTTATTTATATAGCCCAATATCACTAATGTTACATTTGTCTCAGTGGACTTCACAGTTTGTACAGAATATCAGTATGACAATACGACACCCTCTGTCCTTAGACCCTCACATCGTACAAGGAAACACTTCCAAAAAAGGAAAAACCCACAGTTTAAAGGGGAACATGGGAGAAACCTCAGGGAGAGCAACAGAGGAGGGATCCCTCTCCCAGGACGGACAGACGTGCAATAGATGCCGTGTGTAAATCGAAAAGATAATACATTTACAACATAGGTAGACCAAATGTTTTGAAATGCATGTGTCTATAATAAGAAGATGAATCCACGAGGATGTCAATAATCCTGTGGGAGCCATCAGGGAAGTAGTATGATGAAAGTCAGGCAGGACCACATTGACAGGTTCAGCCACGACTCGAAATCCAGGACTCGGATCAGGACTCAGGATCAGGATCAGCCACGACTCAGGATCCCGGCGTAGATAGACACCAAAAAGAAATGTGGGGGAAGCTGGGTTATTCGAAACATGAGAGTACACAGGTACAGACGGAGAGAAGGAAGAAGTAAGGTGTCCCCCGACAGTCTAAGCCTATAGCAGCAAAACTAGGGGCTGAATCTAATCAGCCCTAACTATAAGCTTTATCAAAAAGGAAGGTCTTAAGCGCACTCTTAAAAACAGATAGGGTGTCTGCCACCCGAACACAAACTGGAAGCTGATTCCTCAAAAGTGGAGCTTGATAAGAAAAGGCTCTGGCTCCCATTTACTAAAAGTTGCTTCCCCTTCTGATCGAAGACACAGCAGCACATGCCTGGGGCTTTAGCCTGTCTGAGAAACATATATCATTACAGAAAGGCTTCCCACTGGGTCCTCTGAGAGGGTGAAGAGAGCCACGAATTACAGAAATATTTGAAAGACAAATATTTGCTGTATGAGGTCCAACAACACTCAGTCTCTCAGTCAGTGTTTACAGGGAGTTAGCTCTACCAATCTAATAATGATGTAGTTATGTGGAGTAGTTTGTTCTTTGACTTGTAGAGTTTCCACACGGTGTGCTGGTGTCGGGAACAGGTCAGAGCTTGTCAAGCAGGAGAAAAATGCAGTGCCTGATGGCCTCGGGACACGGCGTACACATAAAAGCATAGCTGCACAGTTTGAAATGTGTTCAGGTGCATCCTCCTCGTGAATAACTACATTCTAACAGAGCAATGTGCAGTGAGAAACATAACATATATAAAGTCAGAAACTATATACAAAGTACAATTGTAATTAAAATGATTTATACAAAATGAAGGGCTTCATACATTCCTTAGCAAACACCTCCAGTGAAGTGACATACATGTAGATACAGTGGAGACTTCCTTATGCTAAGTTAAGTCCATAAAATGAACTTTAAATATTCTGTAAAGGCACATTTTCTTTACATTTACTGCAAGTCAATCTAACTCACTGTCTCTCCACATGCATGTTGTTGCCCTAAGGAGGCATGTCTAACAAGAATGTCTAACAATGTTGCTGTTACATAAAGGACATGACCATGGTCCTGAATCACAGGAGGAGCTTTGTTTTGCATATAGGGTCGAAGCAGAAGCTCACCTGTTTGATCTGCAGGATTTATGAATGGACAGACTGAAACCTGAACCGTCCATTACTACCACTTAACTGTTTGTTTTCTCTCTGCTCTGAACGTATCCATCGTCACTTTCTCTTTCTCTCTCTCGCACACTAGACCACAAACACTTAACTACTCTTATAAAATATGCAGCAAACTGTCAACACCTTACAAATCTAGGATTGAAATGTCCCATGTTTGAAATGCAAATACACAGGAAAACATCAATGTAAACACGAAATAACAGCGGCGCAAAACAACTGTATTTAAGAGCTTTAAATATCTCAAGTGAGGCTTTCAGGGTCAAGGTATACTGTATGTTAAAAAGGATATTGTGACTCAAAATGCACAGCAAGTCAAATCCAGTGTGTGCATTTCAGGCAGAAATAAACCATCTGTTTGTGTGTCTGTTTTTCTTCTGTGCAGCATTTTTTCCATCCTCTCTGCCATCCTGCACCTGGGAAATGTGACGTACTCGCAGTCAGAGGACGCCGAAGTCCTGGAGGTCGGACCGGCAGACGTTTTGTCCACACTGTCCGACCTGCTCAAAGTACGTTTAACTGAAGTGAAACGGTTGATTTTGTATTCTGTGTGCTTAATCATCATCATCTGGATTGATTATGGAAAGTCTTTGGTTATTTTTTATAAGGCTGCACGACGTGGAAAAAATAACGTATTGCAATTATTTGACTAATATTTAAATTGCTGTATGAGTTACGATACAGGAGGAATTGATCATTTTTGCATCTCATGCTCATGGATGCATTTAAAATGATCATGTTGGGATTTTATTTGAATTTTTTTTATAAGAGGATCTGTATCAAAGATTTTTGTATTAAGTCCGTATTTCTCTAGTCCATATTGCAATTTTTATAATAATTGCAGCCCCAATGTTTCCAGTGCTCTAACACTTGGGATGAAATCACTGTCACGTCATTATATTTGCACTCTGTGTATAGAGCAACTCCTACCGATTAAATGTGTCATCGCTATGCCTAAAATTAGCCCTGTATTGTTGTTTCTGTAAACATGTTTCAACCTGTTCTGTTGATCAAGTACAGTCATAAGTCGTGATTTAATTTGGTATATATATTGTGTAACAGTGTAGTGGAACACTCTTTTTTTTCCAGGTGAAAAAGGAGCTTCTGGTGAAGACTTTGACCAAGAAGAGAGAAGTGACCGCCACGGAGAGCGTAGATTCACCGTACACACTACAAGAGGTACAGAGTTGAGAATGAACTATAAACTAGGGGATAATATGTTTGAATTTGGTCTGTTTTTCGTTGAGTTAAAAAGCAGTAATTTGCTTTGTGTGCTGTTTCTGCAACATTAGGCCTCCAAAGTGCGGGACTCCATGGCGAAGTCTTTATACGGCGCTCTGTTTGACTGGATCGTCCTCCACATCAACCACGCAATGCTCAACCGACGAGACATGGAGGAGTCCGTCTCTGTAAGTAACACAGCCAAAAACGACAATACTGTCAGCTGGAAGATTACGTTTTTTGTCAAGTGGGAGAAGGTCAAATAATGGTCCTCCTAAAAAAACAGGCTGCATGATTTTGACTTGAAACATTTTTGCCGATTGGAATTTTTTTAAATATTCAAATTGTAATGGTATCATCAATTGAATAGAAAGGAAAGATCTTCATTTTCCAAATTGGGAAATATGTGCAGAAAAAGCAGAATAAAATCAGTCATATTATATTTTTACTACAAGTTCTGGGGTTCTGAATTGTCTTATTTGTTGTTTTTAGTGTTTGTCGATCGGTGTCCTGGATATGTTTGGATTTGAGAACCTCAAGACAAACAGCTTTGAGCAGCTGTGCATCAACTACACTAATGAGAGACTGCGGTGTTACATCAACCAGCACATCTTCATGCTCAAGCAGGTATGTGTTTATTTTATTCTTTCAAGATATTCAAGAGTGGTTAGTATTCATTATTTTTTGGACCTGCAGTGGCTAATTTATTGGATATCCTAATGCCTTCATAGCCTCTGCAGTGAGTCACCAATGAGCCTGTGAAAGTCTTAAAATATTTATATTGTCTTACAGACAGATACACTAATGGTTTTGCTGGTAATGTTTTTTTAATCCAGTTGGCATTAAAGAGTCTTAAAGGTCCCATGTCATGCTTTTCTGGTTATTTCCAGTCCCCTTGTGTGTTATGAAGGTTTTTATGAATGTAAACGGTCTGCAAAGTCACAAACCCTCAAAGTACACCCTGTAGCGAGTAAAACTCTAACACAGAAAATACCTGTCTATGCTGCCCCAGAACGCCTCGTTGGAGATTTTTATTTTTCCATTTTTTTCTTCCTGGGTATGGTGACGTGACCATACCCAAATGGACCCATTGGACCAATCCGTGGAGCTCCTCACACACACACACTCTCTCAGTGGCGAAACTTTGACGCGCTGGGGGGGGTGCTAGTGGAGCCTCGCAGATGGGGGCCCCCTCAGCACCCCCCCCTTCCCGCATCCATTCGCGATGTCTCGCTGTCTCGCAGACCCCACGCAGCAACCAGGAAATGAACCCAGCTCACACTGTCCGCTCCTCACAGCAGCGAGCTGCGCAACGTCCCGCCAACACGGCACCCAGACCCCATGCAGCATCCTCATCTGTTTGTCATTACTGGTGTCATTTTCTGGTTGCTAACGCCATCGTAACACATAATCACTGATGTTCCGCTGTAACGGTGGTGGACTCATCAGAACAGAGTGGGCGAGCTGACCAATCAGAGCACACTGGGCTCATAGGGAGGAGGGGGCAGGAGCTCCAACAAGCCGTTTAGGACAGAGAGTGAATACACATACTATACAGAGATGCTGTATGAGAAACCAATGTGATTTTGGAACATTGCACAATGTAAATCTATTCTAGTAGACCTCAACAATGGAATTATGATCAGTAGAAATGGCCATGACATGGCACCTTTAAAATGTGTTTGCACTGTTTGACTGTTACTAATATATAAACTTCATCAGTGTGACAGAGACAAATACATTTACCTCCTCTGAGTAACATAATTATGTATTTGGGATTGAATTATTTTCAGGAGGATTATGTGTCGGAGGGCATCACCTGGACAAAGGTCGACTACATGGACCACAGTGGCTGCAGTCAGCTGATCAGCCAGAAGTCAACAGGGCTCTTTGACCTGCTGGATAATGAGAGCAGGTGGGTGAGCCTTGCTTGTAACATTAAGTGCTATGATTTCTAACACTAAGCATATAGTAATATTATACAAATACATTTGAATAAGTGGTCTGTCAGGTTAGTCTTAGTGGGAACTTTTTATAAAAGCTCCCAGGGTAAAGAGAGGTACAGTATAGTTTTTTTTGTTAACAAATAAGTTACAAACCCTTTCCTCCAACTGTGTCAGCTATTCAATCCCGATAGATACTGTAGCTTTTCAAGTACCAATTGACTTCAAAAACAATTGTCTCTAAAAAGTCAATTTCTCATGATTCAGCTTTGTGAAGAGGAATTTGCAGTTGATCCAAGAGGATTTCAAATACTTTATTTAGCTTTACTCGACACATAAAGTAATAACTTGTTTATGCTCAGAATGCTAGACAGCATTATTCTGTTACATTAAATCATAATTTCAGATGTTTTTGTGTACCTTTCAGTTGACCATTTATATTGCTGGTGACCTACTGTTTTCACCCAAGTCTTTCTTGTTATCGTTCCCACATACCACACTGTGTGTTGATATTGATATTCTGTCCTTCTTTGTGTTGCTTCAGCCTTCCTGAGGCCACAGATGAAACCTTGCTGGACAAGTTGCAGCAGCAGCATGAAGACAACCCCTTCTTTGAACCCGCCTCAAATACAGAGTCAACTTTTGTCATTCAACACTTTGCTGGGAGGGTTACATATCAAATCAAGGTGGAGTTTATTTCCCACACTGCAAACATCTTTATACTACAAAGTAAATATAAAAGCATTTCAGTACGTGTCCACTGTGACAGAGAGAGGGTCTGCAGTAGCCTTCTCAGATAAGCCACCGTGGGAAAAACCTGGAAATGTTTGAACTGAGTGAATGAGTAATGCTGCTCCGTTCACAAGAAGCCTGTTGTTGCACTGTGAAATGTAAAGTTGTGAAGACATGTAATGAATGTGGAGCTCCCTTTTGTGTACAGCCAGAATAAAGGAATAACACCATGTTAATCGTGATTATTCTTGCTCTTCAGGATTTCCGGCAGAAGAACACAGAGCACATGCTTCCTGAAGTCGTGTCACTTCTACGGAGCAGCGAGAGGGCGTTCGTGCATCACTTGGTCGCATCCAGTCCAGAAGCCCTTTTCAGATGGGGAGTGTTGCGAGCCACCATCCGCATCCTCACAATTTTCAAGAAACTGGGACGCAAGCGAGCAGAATCATGTGGGTAGCTTTAGTTGCAAATGGAGCCACATTTTTATTTTAAAATCTGCAGATTTGTCTTTGCAGTTATAACATGTTTGTTTAACTGACTTTTTCTCCAAGACCCAGGTGTCCTCCACTTGATTCATGTGTTATTTTAATTCTTCTTTGAGTAATGTTCTGATGATCTACTGACTTGCTGTTTTGTCTCCACAGTATCTGCCAGAACAGGCCCACGCAAAACCCTCCGAGAGATGAAACAGAGCAGCTCTGCTGTGGACAGGCTGTCCAGGTACATTTACTACACTGGTGCATTGAAAATGGATTTTACTGCCACTGACATGTCTCTGTTTAAATATGTATATATATATATATATATATATATATTTGATACAACAAGATGCTTTCAAACTGACAATACTTCTTGAATCAGGCAGGGTTTCTTTGTTTCAAATTCAGATCCGTTTTAAAAAAAGGTCTGACATATTAAAAGTACAGAACCTCTCCTGACCTAGAGGGAACAATGTACGTTGCTTACAAATAGTGAACACCTTTAAACATGTGCTTATCAAAAAGAAAATATACACTTAAAATCTCTCTCTCTGACGTTTTCAGCCACAGTCTGACTCTGGATTTCTCCTTTGATCGCTCTGATGAACATCCTCTTGATGTATTCGAAGACATCTTTGTCAATTATGAAAAAAGAAAGTAAGTGGGCATATGGCTTGAGTTTAAACAGACTTCACACACATTATTTTCAAAGCTGTTTATTGTATCGAGCTGTGTGTATTTTCTGCAGGAAAGTTCGCAGCGGTCGACAGAAGCAGCTCATTCCAAAGGTGAGTCTTCAACGATAAGTGCAGCGTTAGATGCTTGTGATTGTTTAGTTTATTTATTTTATTTTTCATTTCATGCATCTCTGTGTGTTTATCCATCTATCATCTATGGGTCCATCAAAAAGCTCACAGATGTTATCATGTCTCTTTGAACAGAACCTCATGGATTTGAAGTCCCTCCGTCATATCGTTGGTGTCACCGCACATGACAGAACCAGCAAATATATTTTCCACCCTCACCGCAAAACAAAACCTCCGACAGTCGCAGCCCAGTTTCAGGTTTGTACCTCTGCCGACTAATATTCATGCTCTGTTTCATAATCTTAAATCATGACATAATGTGAGGAACATGAATCCAGTAGGGAATGTAGCTTGTAACTTGGATAAAACTAAAGCACTATGAATAAATATTAATCGGCAGGCAAACAATATAATAGCTTTTGCATCTCTTTAAACCACACAAATGTTACTCCTAAGAGGAAAGATGTCCTCCAAACTTTAAGCTATGGATTCAAAACCGTTATACATCATTTGACATTGGAGAAAAAATTGCATTACATCACAAATTGTATGTACTGTGATTTAAGGGCCATATTGAAATCATGTTAGGCTCACTTGATACCTGCTGTGTTGATGTTTGATCATAGTGGACTGAGCATAGGAAGACTCATGTACTATACTACGAGAACAGAGAATACAATAGTTTTAAAACTCCACACTATTCCCTTTATTACAAATTGTGTTTTATAATCTACTATCATAAGAACTTAACCATCAACCCAATCACCACTTCTATCTCACAGGCCTCCGTTGGGAAGCTGATGGAGACAATTGAAAAGGCTGAGCCGTTCTTTATTTTCTGTGTTCGCTCCAACGCTGAAAAGGTATCTGTCAATCTGGAATATCATCCTAAGTGTAAATGCAGTCCTACACATGTACTGTTCATAACTTGGTTGTTTTTGCGTTTGCAGAAGGAGCTGCACTTTGATGAAGAGCTTGTGCTAAAGCAACTCCAGTACACAGGCATTCTGCAGATGGTTCACATCCAGAAGGCTGGCTACAGCGCCAAATACACATTCAAGGTGGGACATCATTTCTTAATGATGTTGTACATTTATATTCAAGCAATTTTTAATGACAAGGAACTCACTTCTGTACCTATCAGTGACGAGAAAGTTAAGTTGCACTTCTGATACTGTTTTGTTCCTGTTGACAGGAATTTGGCGGGAAGTTCAGGATGTTGCTTCCTAAAGGAGCGACTGCAACTTCGGAGCAAATAAGTGAGCTGTTTAAGAGGATGCAGATCGAAAAGACCAGCTATCAAATAGGAAAAACCAAGGTAAACATTCTTGATAATAACATTAATGTATTCTGATAGTAACTCCACAGAGTCCTTTGTAAAACCAGAGGATGAAAGCTATGTTGCCATGTTGGAAACTTACTTTACACTGAGCTCACCCGTAAGCACTGTTTGTACCTGCATTAATGTTGTTGTTTTTTACTTTGAATGAAAGCATCCAACAGATGACTTTCAAGAATTTTGTGAACATCAAAATCTCTCTTACAGTAAACTGTTACTTAACCCCTTGAATGGTTTCTGTATCATAGTGGGTAGATGTATTTGACAGGGTGTGTCCATGTCTAACAGGGCTGTTTGAGCAAAATATGGATGTATAAATGTTCCCAGTGATTTCAAAATGTGTTTGTTTCTCATTCATCTACCCAGGTGTTCCTCAAGGAGAAGGAGAGGCAACTGCTCCAAGACACTCACAACAAAGAAGTGATGCGTCACATCATCGTCCTGCAGCGCTGGTTCAGGGCCTGTCTGATGAGGTCACACTTCCTGCAAAAGAGAGATGCCACTCTGATTATACAGGTACTGTTTGAAGTGTAAAATGATAGTGCTCCAACACATGGTGCGTGGTAGGCTAAAGAGCAGGGCATTGACCAATGACAACAGAGCAGGCCAGCTAACCAATCAAAGCAGACTGGGCTCTGGTTTCAAACATTAAACATGTCACAGTAGAGGTGCAAAATACAAACATGAAGCTTAAAACGAGCATAATATGTCCTTTAAATTGTTTGTGTCTTTTCTGCTCCAGCCCAAAATATATACTCAAAGTCTCATATGCAAATAAAGACACAGGAGACTAAAGTTGAGGATTTCTGGTGTTTTTCAGAGGAGCTGGCGTGAGTTTTACGAGAACCAAAACCGAGCTGCTTCAGTGATCCAGACAGCGTGGAGGATTTCCCTGAAGAAGAACCACCGTGAGACAGAGGATGAGAATCCGTCCATAGAACGACCGGGACGAGACAGGTACACACACAACTAAAACAGGGTTTCCGTTAGCCGGTAATTACCGGTTTTTAGCTGGTAACATTTATTAAAAACCGGTAAATTCAAAACCTGCCGGTCAAAATGTCCGGTAATAATTAGGGATGCTCCGATCGATCAGCCGCCGGTCATTATCGGCCGATATTCACTCTTAATAGTTTGATCGGTGCTCTCTATAAAGGCCGATCAGGAGAGCTGGATCTGATCGATATGGACATAAACGCGAGTGAAGTATAACCGGACGCGAGAGAGAGAGAGATCAGAGATCAGCTGCTGAGTCTGACGGAGACACGCAGCTCTGCATGATCACCTGAAGCCCTGCCCACTGTTTAGCGAGCTGCATGAGAAACTGACTGGCTGTCAGGAGAGAGGGAGGGAGAGAGGAAAAGAGAGGGTCCATTTCTCCCGTGTTATTATTCAAAGTTAAAGGTGGGGTAGGTAAGTTTGAGAAACTTTTTATTATATTCCATGGAATGCTCTTAACATCCCGATAGCAATGAATATCTTAAGTGCTTTGACAAAAAATCCATAAAAAAATGTCATCTGTGGAAGCCGTAATACTGTAAAAAGCACGACCAATCATTTTAGCCGGCCCGGCTAAAGTAACTGGATGGCCTACCTGCCTGTCAGCCTTCCATCTGTGCACAAACTTATCTCGTGCCCTCATTGGTCATGTGCGCGTTCGTGTGTGTTGGAGGAGGGGCTCTGTAAGGAAGTCTGAAGGAAGGGGCAGATTTTTTCCGGCTGTGTACTTTCAAATTCTAGCGCACTCGAGCTGGTTTCTCCAAAATTACCTACCCCACCTTTAATGTAAACTCTTGAATAATGTACTTCATCTACTACAAGTAGTTTGTTTGAATGTAATAATTATGTTGTCTGTTGTTTGTGGAATCATTTATTGCAAAATGAATCTGAACTTTTCGATCTGTTACGATTATAAACTGAAGCAATATAAAAATGACTCCCATTAACTGAGTTTTAAACATCAGCATATCCGGTCATAGTCCGGTAATTACCTGCTAACGGAAACTCTGCCACACAATTCTTATTATTATTATTGAAACATGACCGGTAAGTTTCAAATTTGTCCAGTAAAATAAATTCTGTCCGGACATTTGACCCTGAACTAAAACTACACTGCTTACATCGTAGGAGTTACATAGTAGTTAAATTGGTATACATTAAAAGAGTTCAAAAGTTGATATTTGTTGACAACACTAACAGGTTTATTCCAATGAATGTAATACTGAGGGCTCTGTTGGAGGACTTTTTCATTTTATTTTAGGGTTACAAAATATGAGGACAGATTATCAAAGCATCATTCCAAAAACATTTCAGTTTATTGTATCATCGTCATTTCAAGTAAATAAGAAAATAAATTATAAAGCATTATCATTTATGGAAACGTTAATGTGACACCAGCCTGATTTAATGTTCCTTACACAGCAGCTTGAAGAAGGAGTTAAAGAGGCAGGAGAAAGTGGAGCTGAGCCCCAGCAGGGACCAGGACAGGTCCCAGAGTCGAGAGAGACGAGAGGGCAGAGGGTCGCCTCCCCCTCTCAGCAGACCCCTCTCCCTCCCACTGGACACTAAAGATGACAGTGATGACGGCTCTTCTGGCCCCTCAAGTAAGAGCAGCTCGCTCCAGCGCTACAAAGATATGGGGGGCATCAAGAAAAAGGCAGAACAGTGGAGGGAAAGAAAGAGCGAGGGCGAACACACGGATGAATCAAGTCCGGAAGTACGGCGGAAAGATGAGTTTCGGTAAGTATCATAAACTATTGGAACAGATAGAAAATAGCTTAAAGCTAAGTCTGCCATACATCTTCTCATCCCTCTTTAAGTATTGTATATGTATGCATGATCCTTTTTTAATAAAGACACACATTTAACTTCAAATCGTTCACAAACTCAATTAATATTGCACAACAAGGTATTTTTTTACGTTAGTATTTATTGTTTCTCTCATAATTAGATAGACATATAGACATGGCAATGCTTTCTCTAAATGTATATCTTGATGGTCTTTAAGCCAACTTGTTAGTCCCACAAGGGTCATGAAGTGTGTCTGTATCATTGTTTAACACAGGAGCAAAGGGAAGTCCATGTCGGTAGATGAACTGTCCAGGATCAGCACGTCAGGCTCCGATAGCTCACCTTCTTCCAAGGAGGTAAACATTTGAGATATGTTATTATATTATATAAAAAACACTAAATGTTATGTTCTGTTGTTGTTGTGAGTGTCCTGTACAAAAAGACATGGTGGCACTGGCTTTTCAAAGTACTGTAGTTACAGTACAGTATGTGTACAGTAAGCTGACAAACGCACAAATGGAGGCTCCTTACGCATGATTATTAAAAAAAAGGCCTGCCACTCATCACCTCTCCTGGCTCAATTAGGTCAGCGTGCGTCTCCGCAAGCAGCCCAAACGCAAGCGGCGCTTAGCCAATGCCCGCAGCGTTTTGATGCTTAACTTTGGGAGCCCCAAGGAAAGCGAGTACTGGAGCTATCCGCTGCCCCCCATGAGCCCCTTTCTGCCCACAATGAAGAACCCGGCCAGTGGCGTGGATGTCTGGCCCTCAAAAACTAAGGTCAAGGTACCGACCAAACGGACATTTTAAAGCAACAAGCCAACCCTCTGCATGCAGGCGTTGCATGTGTATGTCCCAAACCGATGAGGTCGCATTGCTCGGGACTTCTCCTTTCTGCTCTGCAGCCCAGGAAAAAAAGAAATGAGCTGTTTCTTCTGAAAAACTAAAGGGAAATCTCTCAGCAGATTTCCGAAAGCTCATTTATGATCTTTTTTGTCCCTTTAACAAATGTAGGTCCGCAGGTACAGTTCAGAGTCACCACAAAACTGCTTTTATGTGACTTGAACATTAAGACAATTATTGTGACTTTAAAATTCACTTTTAATTATTTAGCTTATTGCTTAGTTTCTGTTTATTATGTTAACATTACAGAAGTACAATACAACTTACCTCACATTCATTATGAGGTGATGGGTGATATAACACTATTCCATCTTTGTCAAATAATGTATCGAGTCACAGACTTACCTTTATCATATTTATCTGTTAAACTGTAACTGTATGAAAAAATCATACAAATTGTGTTAAAGCTTAAACCATTTAATAATGAACGGATAAATGATGGAATAGTATTACAAATAAGTTGAATGTGTAAATAATGAATGTTTTAACACACTGACACAATGTTACCTATGTATGAACTAACTTAACTCGAAGTAACTTAACTCAAACTAATTATGGCAAAAAAGGTCAAAGCTCAGCTGGTGGCAGGAATGGAGGCAGCTATGCGTTAAAAATGGTGATGTTTATGGGGCCTGGTTTGGTGATGGTACAGCTGCTTTTGGGCGATGTGGTGGTGAAACAGCATCAACTTGGACAAACAATTTGGGGTTCCTGGGACTTTTTTTATTAAGTATTTTTTGGTTTTAGTTCTTTGTTCGCAAGTTATATACTCCGGCATAATTACCTGTGTTGATACTGTTGCAGATATCGTCAGTAACTGATGGGGTAAGATTCAGTCTTCCAGCCAAGAGCAGCAACGAGGACGCAGAGCAACAGGAATCCAACCAATCACAGCTCACAACTCCTGAGAGGTAAAACTACACCCAGTTCAAAGGAAATGTTTAAAGGTGTTGTCGTTTTTTGTTTTAAGCTTTATATTGTTTTTTCATTAATTAATAGGGGTGGGTATTGTTTAAAAATACCAATATTAGTTCCCCTAAAGTGATATAAAGTAATTTGATTGATACCTTGTTTATTTATTGGATTTAAGTGAGCCAATTACACTCCACTTCAAACCAATTGCTGTGATTGGCTGCAAGCAAAAACTTGCCAATGTCTTTTTCCCAATATCTGCGTACAAAAAATGCAGGTACAGTTCAAATGAAGAAATGTCAATGCTTGGTACTGGGTCCTTTTTGTCGATACCTTAAAGGTATCAAGTACCGGTGACAAGCCCTGTTACTTAAAATATATATATTTTGCTGTCTGTTCTGCAGGATTTGGTTTCTCAGTAGATTCCTGAAGAAGCGGACTCCTAAAAATCCCTCGGGCAACGACTCAGATATAGGAGGTAAAGTAGGAGCAAAGTGGCGATCTGTAGCTATTTATAAATTGCAGATATTTGTTATGTACACATACAGTTCAATACTTCAAAATAGGCAAGGGAGTGTAGAAAGTAATGTAGTGTGAACAATATTTCTGGTAATGTTCTACTCTTCACTGCCATCTGGAGGTTATGCTGATCAGTAATATGTGTGAAATAAAGAGGCTCTATGTATCCTATCCAGTAGGAATATAAAGTTTAAACTTGTATTTGTTGTGTCAGACGAATAATAACACATCTCCCTCTTCTGAATGCAGTCACCTTGTCCAGCTACAGCCCTCATCCCTACCAAAGGCCAAACCAGAGCAGTGAGAAGATCGCTCGAAACCCGACCATTAAAATCAGCCGGGCCACGCGGGGGCTGCAGTCCAACACCTCTCTGGATCGGGAGATCACCGACCCAAAAGAGCTGCGAAACCTGGATGAATTCCTCGGAAATCAGGTGAGAACTACACCTGAAGAGGGGAAATCTGAAGCCCAATCATCAGCTTATTCATGTTTTATTTCTAGCACTTCGCAAAACTACTTTTCTTTCATACAAAATTGGTGGGAGGGTGTAACGAGTGCAGAGGAAAACCCAACACAATTTTGGATAGGATCCAAATCACGGCACAGATACACAAATTATTTTTCACTTTCATTAACATAGCGAGACAAATCGAGCCTTGGAAGAGTTCTGTGATCTTTGTGGGCCCTAGTAGTTGTACATAGATAGATTGTAATCATCTTTTATCTAGTGCATTTTTGTAGTTGATTAGTTCTACAGATGTCTACGTTTTTGGGGTCCAATTTCTAAGGGACATCTAGAGTTTGGAAAATAACTCTACCCTGGTTAAAGCACATAACTTTATTTTGTTTTGTATCATACCCCTCTCTATCCTTAATCCTGTGTTCCACATGTTCCTTGTCTTTGTCCTCAGGTGAATGAGCTGCAAAGTAGGATAAAAGATCTGTCGCCTACAGAGAGCCTCTTCCTCACAGCCACCATGGAGTTCAGAGAGACCATCAAAGGGATGTACTCTGTGCAGGTCAGGCCAGCCTCCTCCTCGGTACAATATAATGTTTCATCTAGTTGTAAGAAAGTAAGGGACAGTATGTTTCTTGATCATTGCAGGAACGTTCGTTATAGTTGTTGATTTAACTTCTGCAGTTATTTTAGAGTGTTTTGGATGTTCAAATCTAAATCGATTGAAGTTTATTTAACTGTTGCTTATTATAAGTCTGCAAACTAATGTCTTCTGTTATCAACAGAAGCCTCAAATCGGCTACAAATATCTGATGAAGGGCTTCCAAAACAAAGTGAAAACACTAGCAGGGAAACAGAAGAAGGAAGAGACCTCGCTGGTGGTCAACCTGTTTCAGTCTGTGCTGGACGGCTTCATTAGGGGCGAGCTGAAACGAGCTGATTCTGAGCCAGCCAAGGTGAATTACAGAATTTCAATATCTTAACTACTTTGTGAGTGTAAACCGTCCATTGACCCACTCGTATATCTCAATTCTGGTTTCTCTCAGGCCAACAAGACGACAAAGAAGAGGAGAAAAAAGGATAAATGTGTAAGTTGAGCATCTAAACCTGCATTGTGATGTTTATGCATTATACATCCAGGCAAATTATCCCAGTTCATTGTATGTACTTCCTGTCTTTACAGCCGAATAGTCCTCTGGATCACTTGTTCAGCACATACCAGGTGAACATCATGCAGTCATGTGACCTGTGTGGCTCCTACATCTGGGGAATGGAGAAAGCATACATGTGCAGTGGTGAGTTCAAAGACCTGCAGCAACACAAAATGTAACAGCATTTTCTTTGCCAATACGAGAGTAACGCAATTAAATCACTTTTTTTCCTTTTTTTAGCTTGCAAGTTAATATGTCACAAGAAATGTCTGGATAAAATCATCACAGATTGCTCGACACGATGTGCTAGGCAGGTAGGAACTGACATTTTTCAATACTACTACCATTATGTTTAAATAACTCGCATTGATTGCTCAAATTCTGCCCATAACTCCCTGTAAATGAACACTCCTCTTGTCTTGTCTTATGATAGGATGACAGCGTGCCAGGCTCCCTTCACTTTGGGGTGCAGGTGTGTGTCCTCACCAATAAAACTAACCCTGTGCCCAAAGTGGTGGAGTTGCTTCTGATGCACATTGAGCTGAACGGCCTCTACACCGAGGGCATTTACCGCAAGTCGGGCTCAACATGTCGAGCGAGGGAGCTCCACCAGATTTTAGAGACTGGTAATACATTCTTTACACACCAGCTGAAACTCTTTACTTCAGTTTTGGAGATCCACTTTACATGAGGTTACTGGTGTTATTAATCTGCATAGTTGGTGTGCAGCGGCAATAGCCATAGACTATGAAGAAAAATAAATAATTGCAGTTGGAGAGATGTTCTCTATCTGCCATAGAGACACTTAACATGATTTTATATGATATTTATTTGACTTTATTTTCTATAATATCTCAATTCTCTTATTTTCTGTCTTTCTTTGTCTTATCTTCTCTGTTAAATTGCATTTTTTGTGTGCTCATGTTCAAATCAAGAATAATTATAGCTTAGAACCTTTGATAGCTGGGTTTTTAAAAATATTTGGAAAATGATTATGTCGCCCTTGTAACGACCTTACAAGTTATATTATTTTTTTTTTAGCACTTTAAAGACTAAGTTTTGATCGATTAAAAGGGAATATATTAAAAAAGAAAAGTACTAACTTTAAGTACTGTACTTCTAAAAATGTGATGGTAGAATCACTATTAAATGTTTTGGTGTGTTTCACCTGTGTGCTTTGTCTTATTTCAGATCCGGAGGGGCCAAATTTAGACAACTACCCGATCCACACCATCACAGGTCTACTGAAACGTTGGCTCAGAGAGCTGCCGGACCCCCTCATGACCTTTTCCCTCTACAACGACTTTCTGCATGCCGTGGGTGAGTGAATATTGAAATGATACAACACAGCCTGAAAAAACTGTTGTCAAAAGTGTGACTATTTTTGAATAATGAAACTGAAACTGAAATAAAACTAAGTTGAAAACAAAAACAAACTGTACATACATCGGTAAGTCCGCAACTAGTGCCTTCTTTGAACTTTTTTCCTTTAAAAATGGCCTTAACAATTGATCAATTAACAAAGTCAATTCTTTCAATTCATCGATACATGAGAAGTAGTTCAGCTCTGCTTGTGATTATCTTGATGTAAATGATTGGAAATCCTTGTTTGGGACCTTGACTCTAGTAGATTTTTGAATGTTATTGATATCCATGTTTTTTTGCCCTCAGAGCTGCCGGAGAAAGCTGAGAGAATAAGGGCTGTTTACCAAAAGATTGATGAACTTCCTCCTGCTAACTACAACACGTTAGAGCGGCTCATCTTTCACCTTGTCAGGTAGGACAAACTCTACATAAGGTACATTACAGTTTCCTCACTTGATTAATTCATCCTGCCACATTTATACTTTTTTGGACTATGGAATGTGCTATAGTAAAACAAAAAGAAATAAACAAGACAGAGAACTATATCTCAAAAAGACAAGAATTGTGTTAATATAAATGAAAAAAAATGGTTAATTCATTGTTTTAATAATACAATATGAGTTGATTATATGTTTACGTGTAGAAGTGACAGGAGTGAGACCTTTTATCTGTGTGTCTTTTTAGGGTTGCGAAAGAGGAAGAAAATATGATGTCAACAAGCTCTCTTGCTATTGTGTTTGCTCCCTGCATCCTGCGCTCACCTGATGTTGACGACCCATTTCTGGCTATGAAGGATGTGGCCAAGACTACAACGTGAGTCATTCTGCACACTCCCATATTCATTTTTGATGTATCTTTTCAAAATATTGGGTGTGCTTTTGTTGCATTAGCTTTACTGCATGTATTTCTAGAGATGAACGTTGTTTATATGGAGGACTTCTTCTCTCTGACCTTGTTTCCTGCAGGTGTGTGGAGATCCTGATCTCGGAGCAGCTCAGACGATACAATGAGAAGATGCAGAATATCCAGCAGCTGGAATACGCAGAGGCAGTGGCTGTCAATCAGCTCAAACTGAGGAGACAAAACACGGTGAGAGAAAACTAAAAACTAAAGGAATATGCATCATGAAACATGTGGTCACTCAGGAAGTTCAATTCAAACTGGTTAGTTGTCAGTCCAGCTATTATATTTAAAAGTTGCATTAAGACAGCACAGACCATGCCACAGGAAAAGTTATACCAACTCAAACAAAAAAATTGAAATGACATCTACCAGTACTTATTATTAAATTAGTATTAATCTGAGAAAGGTAACATTCAACAAATGAACTTCTTTCTTTATATTGATTTTGTTCCACACACCACTGTCACCTAAGTTTGATTCATATCAAATTTAAACAAAGAGCAGCTCAAAATTACTCTTAAACTAAACTTTGAATACATTGTCTCGATCTATAAACTCGCACCCATCTTACTCCAGCTCCTCTGATCTTTGTTCAGGTTGTTGAAAAGCCTCCACAGCTGGATGTTCCCGATCATATGCCTTCGGATGAAACGGAGAGGACCCTCATTGATAGGATCAAGTCCATCAAACAAGAAAAGTGAGCTTGACTTTTTTTCATTTGAGTTGAATGCTTTGTGTGCAATGCATTTCATTAATAATGATGTATTGTTTTGTTGTCTTCAGGGTGGACTTGGCTTTCAGGTTACCTGACCTTGAGCAGGATAACTCTGACGACAACCTGGACTCATCATCTTCATCGATGAGCTCAGAGAGTCTAGAGGACCGTCTGGGCAGCCTAGACTCGGAAGGTCAGTAGGGAGGTACGGTACTTTCACCTTCTTCTGAGTTTAAGGAGACAATTTCATACACGTCATATTAAATCAAAACATTTGTGTAACTCCCCACAATGATACATGGTATAATAGATAATGTCCTCATGACAGTGTTCTGCCTGTGTATAAAGGGTGAGGTATTCTTAAATAGAACATATTCATCATGGCAGCAACAGGTGTATATTAAATCACAACAATTATTAGGTAACAATAGAAATATACTGTTCAAGTAATCTTCCAGGAATGTGTGCTTACACTTAGTTGATTGGCCATCACAGTATCTTTGTAGATGGCATTGAGTTGAGGTCTATCATAGGTCGAGCCAGGTTAAAGTTTTGTGATCCTGTGTTTTATTTTCGCGGTGCAATGTTGGAATCCCTGCTGCACCACCTGAGTAGTCTCATTCAAATTCACAGGGCATGCAATATTGATATACTTTCACTTGTAATTGCATTAAAAACATTTCATTTGATTTCTCCATGAGATTCAATATATATTGTTGAATGGATATACAAAAACATCCAGATAAAGATCCTTATTCATTTGGTCAAGTTGATTTTAATGCTCAGCCCTAATGTGCATTTGTTTTGCTTTGAACGTGGTATTACATTTTCTCTATCTACTTCGTTTAAAAAATGTATTTAAACTTTACATTTGTTTTTTTTTAATTATGCAGCAACTCTAGCGAACTACTTTAGCTTCATATCCTCTGTAACCACACAGATCATTAGCCGTTATTGACTGGTTCCATACACATCAAGTCTCTTATGTTTATTGTTAATTTAATATTAAAGTACTAAACAAGTTTGCTCATCTGTTTCTATTACCAGCCAAGGTGACCATGCGATCAAAAACCCAGAAACCCAACTGCCCGCCTAAACCTGCTGACCTGGCGCAAAGAGTGAGAAGTCTGATGGCTCAGACAGGTGATGCGTGGGGAGGGTTCACACCAGGACAAAAGACAGATGCTACAAAATCCATGTGCTTCCTGCCCAGCCCAGATAGCCCCTCCCCCGACGACAAGCCGCAAATCATTAACAAGTCTTTCAACGGGAGCTATGACGACCTGGACATCCCTTACATCGACGAGGATGAAGAAGATCCCACCTGTGAATAACACCACAAGTTAACATAATAAGAATATGCTCCAGGTGTGACTGGATTTTTGTTGAAAAAAAAAGAACTGTGCACTTTGTTTTATAGACTTTTCCATGTGTCAATGCTGCTATGGAAACAAAGTGCCTTGAGAATTTCAATGTATTTAATGCGAGATGTACGGACTGTCTGGAGAAGATCCAATTGCAATGAGGACTTGGCCTCTTTATATACAATACACTGTGTGTGATTTTAAACATATCTCAGAATTGTACAGTTTTAAGTTTTATAAAAAGGTAGGTACTTCCGTGACAATGTGAGACCAGCTATGTCTCATCTGTAGAGGATCAAAGGGATCAGGAGCATTTGAGGATACAAGGTTCTCCTTTACTAATGGACATTATTTTGAGCTCATCCACTGTTGCAAATAATAGGACTTTATGGTGTTTGTGGGTAGAAAAGTTTTACAAGTGTACCAACAATGTGCATAGGAGAATCAGAGTGCTTCTCTATTGTACAGACACAGAACCATTGCATTTTGGGCTCGCTCTTAATGCATGGTTGTGCATATCAAATGTTTCAGTTATGTTTTTCTGCTTTTAATATTCCTGTGGTATCGACTGCTGCGACTGACTCATTCAATACACTTGTAAGGCAAATGGCCATATTCCTGCCTTTAAGACTGACTGAAAAATACTAACCTGTCACTGTGCAGTTTCACCAAGTAAACATTTTGTCAATACATATAGGTTTTTTAAATAAATATGCATGCCTGTACATTTATAAGGGGTTATGAATCATGCGTATTTGGGTGAGCATCCTCAGAAATCGTCTTTTGACACGTGAATAAACTGACCTTTTTCAAATGTCTACTGCTGTAAAACAAATAATTTCAACCAATCCTGCAGCTTTGACAATGACATGTCTATTAAGAACATACTGCAAAAGTACATGAAATGTTTACCAAGTGTTACATGTGAGGAAAGTTTGTCATTGTGTCAATGAGATCATGATAACAAATGACACCTATTGCAGACCCTTCTGGGCAAAATGTAGATTTCTAGCAGACCCGACTGCTCTTGATAAATGTTTCTAGACCTGAATGTTGTTTAAATATAGGGGCTTTGTGATAATAAAAAAATCCCTAGGTTGACGCTGGTGGTAAGGTAAGTAACATACAAGTATATTTATGAATGTCTTTCTATGTCTTAACAAAGACTTAAAGACACATTTGAAAATGAGTGTAAGAAAGGAGAAACTGAAGGGTGTGGATGTAGCTGAACATCTTGTACACTTTCCTTATAAACACAACCACTCACCCTATAAGGGAGTTCCTCTTTCTACACAGAACCGCGGTGTGGCATTCACCAATCACCATTTGAGGATCAATAGCACAAACGTTGTTCTCAACCAATCAGACGAACTGGCTGAACTGGTCGTTTATCAGACAGCTAATCGCTGAGCGGTGTTGCACTGGAAGGGCGGGTCAACATTTAGTACAGGAAGAGGGGTTGAAGTGAGGTGGAAGAATCATCAGTTAGCTCACTGCTAGCTGTCTCCTGGAGCCAACCGCCGATGTGTTATGAGCTTTGTAGCCGAAATCAGTATATTATTTTAGTTCCGATAGTTGCAACGATGACACTCTGACACCAAGAATGGACATAAGTTAACAATGACGGGGGAGAAAAAGAAGAAAAAGCGGGTGAACCGCAGCATTCTTCTTGCAAAGAAAATTATAATAAAAGATGGAGGAACTGTGAGTTAAATATTTATTTATCTTCGTTGAACCAGTTTGCCACGGAGCTAATCTTACTATTGTCCTCTGAATAAGTTAGTAGCCCATGTTTATATCAAGAAAAACAGTGGTGCGGCTTTTGTTTACGGCTTTGTGTCTTTGGTGGTTTGTCCCAGCGGATAATGTTAACCGTTCGCTGGGTCCGCCTAGCTAACTCAGCTAGCTGTGTGCTACCATTGGCTAATGTAAGCGGCCTTCGTTTACACGTCAGCTCAGGTAACGCAGGCTAACTCATATCAACGTTAGCTGTTTTTCTTGAGGTTTTCACAGTAATTCTGCTGCCCAAAGTATATTTGATACCTTACTTTAAACTATCTCTTTAATGCTTAACGGTTTCTCTCGTTTGTTCAAATATTGTGGAATTTACGCGTGACAGTGCATCACTAAACTGGGGCTAGGTTAAAATTAGCTCACTAGCATATGTGTGTATTATGTGGGGTGTTTTTGTCCTGTTGTAAACAACGGATAATTAAATAAAGGGTTTAAAATACTTAATGTATTACCTAGAAAATGGTTTAAGAAACAAAGTAAGCTAACTTGTCGGATATTGTCAGATATATTTTAGGTTTGTTCGTTTACGAAGGCTAGATAGGGTTGGTAGTGTTTGTTTAAAAACAAGCAAACATACCGTTTAAGTCAAGATACCAGGAAAGCAAATATACTAATTGCCACTGTTTTAATAGCTGTGTAACGCAACTAAGCTTATAACCCATATAGGGTTTAGAATCGGGTGCCAATGATCTTTAAACATAATTTAAATATATTTGTCTATGACACATTTATACCCTATTGTCTGGGTTATTGACACCTGTATTCAAGGTCGGATGAAGTCCTACTATAGTGACCTGTGATAAGATGCCCTTACCTGGAAGCATCAAACCTCTTTAATAGACAGACCAAAATAAAAGCAATTTAGGATCAGTGAACCAATGGTGGGAGTGATGATTGTCCCAAATGAGACAGTTGGCAAAGGAAAGTGAGTATGGTAGAATTGTTATAAAGAAAACAGTGAGGCATCAGTGCTGGTTATGTAATCAGATGAAAACCTGTGCCAAACAAGCTGGGTGTCCAAATGAAGACACACAGACTTGTAATACTAATTAAGAGAACAAAAACAGTTGTTTTTCCCTTTTGTAATGGGCCTGTATTCATGATGACAACCTTCTGTCTGAACACCTGACATGATGTGGCGCTGTTCCAATTAGGTCTTCAGTTTAAATTACAGTTATTTCTTTACTCCTGCAGCAAGGTCTGTCCACTCAGCCGTTAATATTTCATTTTCAGCAACCAATCTAATATGGCTTAGTTGCATTGGTGTCAATAGCCAATTCTGATCTCTAAAGATGCAGCTGGCTGGGATTTCAGTGGAGAGGAAGTTGCAGCATCCATATAATACAACAGTTTCAGGTTAGCAAGTGTTGTTAAACAAAAGGCTGGGGTTCTTTCTGATTTACTGCTTGTCAATCAGTCAAACTCTAGGCGTTTTTTTCTCGATGCTTTTACTCTCACCACATAGGGAAATGGCAAACCACATGAGCGAGTAAACTAGCAACTAGAGTCTTTGTAAAGTTGGACCTGGCCTACTTTTACTGTCCCAAAATGATCACACCTCGCTTTGTTTCCTGCCAAAGATCCTGCGTCCACGCTCACTTTTCATCGCACTTTGTCTTCACCTCACAGACTTGTATAGATTTTACTGTGCCGTGGTGAAGTGTCTACTTCACTAGGTATTGAATTTGAATGAAAGTTAAAAGAATATGTGTTTTTGCTCATTAAATAGATATGTTTGTATTAGGAGTTACCCAGTAAACAATAGCACATAATAGTTTACTTGTTGGATTAAATACTTTGCTTCGTACCTGTGCCATTTTCTTTGAATGCTGAGGGGTTAAACATTTATTTGAATGAATATTGTTGTGTTTGCCAGTAAATATGCTATTCAATCTGATGCCACTTTAACCTATATACATTTAATCTTCTCTTGCTACACAGGCAATGCATATTCTTGTACTCAATAAAATTCAATTGTCATCATAGTCTCAATTATAGTAAGTCAATTTATCTAAAATTGCACGTCATGTAAATGGTTGAGCCCAATGTCTTACATTAATTTAGTTTACAGTATGTATGACTTAATTAATTGAGCCACAGTGATCGAATGCTTTTGAATTAATCTTGCCATGAAATAGTTAAATGAAGAAAATTAAGATTTTTATTTAAATTGACAAATAAAACAACTCGCAGTAATTGTGATATGATGTGGTGGCTTCTTTAAGTTAAGATTCAGCAGTTTATTGACTAAGTCAAAACTTCCCCAGTGTACACTTCCTCCAGTTTCAGAGTGAAAAAATATTTCTCATAATCGTACACACTATTTCATAACTGTGGGCGTTCCTACAGATCGGCTGATGCAGAGTATTGTGTCATCAGATGGATGTTACTTTGAAATGGATTCCAGTTTAAAGTTTGATATGTTAATGTGTACAGGCAATTTGATGCTTGTAAAAATGTTTGTTGCTTCTCAGCTAATGATCTTTCTAATTGTATGCGCCTCTCTGTCTCCATCCAGCCTCAGGGAATCGGTGAGCCGAGTGTTTACCATGCTGTGGTGGTCATCTTCCTGGAGTTTTTTGCATGGGGTCTTCTTACCACCCCAATGCTCACGGTAAGCCTGGACACAATGCACTTTAACATAGAGGCACTGTTATGTAAACTGATATAACTTTCAGTAATAAATTCATACGCCTACACCTCCTCTCTGGAAACCTAGCCAGAGAGGTTTCCATTGACTGGAATCGCACAAGGCCCATCAGTGTCTATGAATGATTGAACTCCTAATCCAATGAGCGAGGCCTTGTGTGACGCAGTTTTGTTTTTTGTGCGTGTATGTTAGCAGATGTTTTGCCAAGCGCTAATGGACTGAGAAATATGAAAAGGGCATCAAACAGTTGTATTGTCTGAGCACCACTTCTTTGTTGAAAAGGCTTATCAGGGGGTCACTGGTTTGTGTTGTCAGGCCACAGCAGTGATACCGACGAGCAAACCACGCCACACACTCACTGTGCTCTGCGAGTGGTGGGGTGTACGTATTTGCTACAGGCAACTCAAACAGCATTATTTAAATTACTTGTATTCTTAAATGTCACCTGTCTTTCTGAAAAATGTTGGCATCAAAAGATCAACCAATTTTGGAAAAACAAGGATTATTATTTCCTTAAAAACTGATCTTAATTGTAAGCTAAGAGCTAAGGTGACTGATAGTGACGACATGCTTTATTTCACACTAGCAGGGGATCGTGTATTAATAGTTTTTCTATTTCAGGCACCATATTTTTTCATTTTTCACCCAAGCTCGATATTTATTAAATCCTGTCAAGGGTTTCTTAGCCTAAATATTTGTTTTCTACCAAAATAAATTACCTTTGTTTGAAACTAGTATCCCAAACAAATGATGGGCAGACATCTGTTTGCCAGATGATGTTAACCAGACAGGCTTTTGCCGTGCAGACTGTTGTTTGAAGAGGTGGTTGTATGTGTAACTGTTAAGCATTAATTACTGGGGGTTTGTTGCCTTCAAGATCCCTGGGTGGAGGGAGGATTTGCATTTTGGACTAATCAGAGGGTGCCTGAAGATGAGAGGGTCTGCTTCACTGCTCCCAATGAGCGCACTGCTTCATTAGTATCCAGCAGCAACAGCCGTCATTGAGCCTTCACAGCCAGTGTGTGTTGTGTAGCTGGCTCCCAGAGGAACATAGGAGATTCTTAGCCATGCCACAAGCTTCCCCTTTTTACCCCTACTGTACATAATAACCAGAACCTGTTATTCAGTCGAGCTCCACATGTTCTCATTTAAACCGAGGCTCCATGTTCCCACAGCAGTGTCAATGACACTTGTGCTCTATGCTTGCTGCACACAGACATATGGACTTTGAACTGAACAACATATCAATGATTTTTTACCATCTAAACACGTCTTTCTCTTCTGTATTCAAACTAAGATACAGTATTGGAGGAACAGAGTTTCTGGTTTATTTTTTCCTGAAATACTTGAGGATTATTTTTATTTGCGGGAAAG